CATGGTTTCAGGCCCCCACTCTGCCTAGGAATTGAGACCCTCAGTCCTCTGTCCTCCAGGCTCAGACATGGGAGCCCCCAGCCTGCACATCAAGGTGTCTCCCTGGCCACCGGTCAGACACTGACCCCATCCTTGAACCCAGCCCTATCTGCGTCCGTGATCACGGCGTGCTCTGGCCAGGGCCCAGGTCCTCCAGCCTCCCTGGATGGGCGCCTGGGCCTGGGGGCACTGGGCTGGGCTGGGCTCCCCAGGCCCTGCCTTCCGTTCCTCTCCCCACAGGTCCTGCCCCGGCCCAGGAGGTCAGCCGGGGAATCATTAACAAGAGGCTGTGACATGGCGGAGAAGGAGGGTGAGTCCCCCTTTCCCTGAGCCCCAGCTTTAGCTCTGCCTGACGCCCCTCCCTCTGTGCTTTCTTCCCAACCCTCCACCCCCTGGGAGCCCCCTTTTCTCTGGCACTCCTCCTGGGCCCATCCCCACCCCCTCTTCACCTGATTAACTATTAACCACATGTTCTGTGAGTCTGTGCCACCACCTTCCCACCTGCTACCCCGCATGACCTTCTGGCTCCTTGCCTCAGTTTCCCCTCACCTCCCAGCAATTCCTCAGCTGGCCCTGGGCCTCTCCTTCCTTTGGGGCTATGGTGGGGAGACTGGGTGTGGTGGTTAAGGACACAGACTCTGGAGTTGAATCTTTGGGCCTAAGTTTGAATCTGCGTCTGCCACTCTTTTGTTGTATGATCTTGTGCACGTGACATCATTTTTTCTGGACTTCAATTTCCCCCCTGGGTCAAGCGTGGGTCCTAGTGCCACATGAGGTTGTTGGGAGCAGGGACAGCAGCAGGGCAGGGCGTGAGGTTGGGAGCAAGATGATGGGGGCTTAGCGTGTGAGATGTACGCTGTTAACCAAAGCTCATGACAGAGGTCAGCAGACTTGGAATCCCAGGGATCTGAGACCCCCACCAATTCAGACATTCCTCCTGCCGCCTGGCATTGTGGGCAAAAGGGCAGAGGGAGGACTTTGGACCTGGCAGGATAGGAGGAGAGGGGAGAAAGAGCAGAGAAACTACTCCAGGGCGATGGGAAGAAGCCACTGACGGGTGGCTGGCACTCAAGGGCTCTTGGCAGCCCCCAGCCAGGGATTCCCCCAGCCTGGATATCTCAACCTTCTCCACACGTGGGAGCCAGCTGGGGGCCCAGGAGGGGCAGTTTTTCCTCCCCGCCCTCGAGCTGGGCGGACTCCCTATCTTCCTCCTGGAACCAGGCTAGCTGGGTTCGGTCCTAGGCAGCAGTGCTTTCTAGCTTTAAGGCCCTGAGCAAGCAGTCTGCCTAACTCTCTGGGCCTCAGTTTCTTCATCTGTAAAATGGAGATGGTACTCACGCACACCTCGCAGGGTGGTGTGAGTATTTAATGCAGGAAGTGCTGAGTATGTCGTCTGCAATGATCAGTGTGAATCCCTGGCCTCCTTGGGTCTCAGTACAGCTAGCCACTCAGACCCAACCATTCAGTGATGGCCAGAGTGCGGCCAAGCTTCCAGGGGCTCAGGAGGAGGCACTCCCTGCATTTCAATAGTCATACCACCTTATGAGGTGTGCATGGGTATCATCTCTATTTTGCAGACGACTTTGGGAAGGATGGACAGGTCTGGGTACAGAGAGAACTGAGGCACAGTGGGCTCCATTGCATCCTCAGTCAGCTCAGGCCCTGTCTTGGGGGGCGGGGGCGGTCTGGCTGGAGGGTGTGGTCACACCTGGACACAGATGCTGAAAGGTTGTGGTGCTGTGCTTACTTGCTGGGTGACCGGGGGTAGGTGGCTGCACCTCTCTGGGCCTCTTTTCCTCACCCATAAGCCAGGGTGGGGATAACAATGGTACCTTCCTCACGAACAGTTGCAAAGACTTGAGGATCTGCAGGACAGGACCGTGCGTTGGCATGTGGGTTGAGAGCTGCTGCCGTGACTGTGTTGGGCCCAACTCGAGGGCCTTGGTGCTCCTGGGGACTCAGCCTTGGAGGAGGTGATATCTGAGTTGACACTCATCATGAGGAGGGAAGCAGGGTATGCCAGGCAGAGGGAACAGCCTCGCTCCGTGGTCAGCAAACTGCGGCTCGCGAGCCACATGCGGCTCTTTGGCCCCTTGAGTGTGGCTCTTCCTAAGCCTTAGGAGTACCCTAATTAAGTTAATAACAATGTACCTACCTATATAGTTTAAGTTTAAAAAATTTGGCTCTCAAAAGAAATTTCAATCGTTGTACTGTTGATATTTGGCTCTGTTGACTAATCAGTTTGCCGACCACTGGCCTAGCTTAATGTCGGCAAGTAACAGACTGCTGGGGGCGCGGTGGCACATGGCTGCTTTGGCTATTCCTGGGAGTAAAGTTGAAATGGAGCTGAGAGGGTGATGAGGTGTGTCGGTGGGACCGAGGTCTGTTCCCACCGGTTTTGAGGAGGGGCAGGCAGATGCCTGCGTGTGCTGGGTCTCTCCACAAGGTGGCGCTGTCTGTTACTCATTGTTTCTCTTTTCTAACTGATATCTGTAAGTCCTGTGGTTTCAGTTGTTTTTTGGAAAGGCTCTCAGGTTAGGGGAAATATATGTTCAACTCTCAAATCTCTAACAGCCGTGCTTATGTGCTAGGGTTGCTGGCGCCACAGGGCTGAAGGCCTTGGACTATGTCCTGTGGAACACTGGGGAGTCACGGAGAGTTCTAGGGAAAGTAACGACAGGTTGGGTTTGATATTTAGCAAGAGCCCCCAAGCTT